TAAAAGTTTTAGGTTGCTGGTGGGTGTTGCTGTTAATGGTTGCATTGTGAAACCTGGTATTATTGCGATTCCTTTGTGCTACTGTTGTGAACAGTGGAATTTTCAGTAGGAAAGAGCATCCTCAGTGGTTCCTTGCCAGCGAGGATATTAATGAACAAAGGAAGTGTTAGAAATGCAGTGTTTGTCACATGCTCTTCAGTCCCTCCCAACCACTGTATGCTTGAGCCAGAGAACCATACTGCTTCCTTTTGGAAATAGTCCTCAACTTTGTTCCTTATAGATCTACTTTCATGTTTATTTGGGTTTTTTTGTGTGTATTTTTTTTTGCTGTTGTTATTTGGTTTGGTTTTTTTCTTCCTGGGTTTTGTGGGGTTTTTGCGTCTTTTTTTTTTTTTGTTTGTTTGTTTGTTTGGTTTTTGGGGTGTTTTTTGTGATTTCTGTGCTTTGAAGGACAAAATTCCATTTGGGATGGTTTGAACTTTGCCCATGTATATTTAAATCTGCCTCTGCTTGTTCAGGGACAACTCAGGCCTTCTGAGGATTCATGTTTACATTCCAGCAGCTGGGTCAAATATAGGTGCATAAATAAGCTTTGCCCTGTGCCTCAGCCGTTCCTCCACCCTTAGACAGTAAAGCTCTTGGGCTGTTTCTGACTCTGCATGTTTGCAGGTCACAGTGACTACACTGTGCCAGCCCATTCTTCTTGTTCCTCTCTCCTTGATGAGAATGATGCACTCAGGTTTCCAGAAGACTTTCCCAGCTGTTACTTTTGATTTACTTGTTTGGTGCTGTCCACCATGTTTTTGGCGAACAGAAGATGAATGTGTCATAGCAACAGAGCTTTCTATTGTTGTAGTGACAGGATTTTTAACTCATTTTATATTCACAGTTTCCCTGTGTCAGTAGACAAACTCTAAACCTGTTTCTCAAGTCCAGTTTACCATGTTCCTAGTCAAGCAGTCTTATAGTTCACATGCTTGGAAGAGATGGCTTAGTGAGTACATAGGCTTATGTGTCATGCAATGAATAGAAATCAGCTGCCAATCATACTCTGAGGACATGCAACCCACTCATTGTGGGCACTTGTTTCCATTTTTTTTGCGTGTTCAGAGATTGAATATTACATAATTACTGATGCGTTATGGCATGTTTCAACACGGGGACCCATTTCTGGGTCAGCTCAAGAGACATAGTGGGGTGTTTGGGAGAAGCTTAAGTGTGAATGGACAAGAACTTAGAGAGACAAAGCCCTGAGCCCTTCCAGGTGTGTCCTGCAAATGTATATCCATTACCTATGTGTTTTGTATTTTCTATCAATTTTGTATGTTAATTTGACGTCCACTCAATACCCTCTACATTGTCATAGAGGAAGATAGAATAAATATAGCTCTAAAAAGAGGGATATTCCACTGGGGTGTTGTAAGAAAATTTCAAAAATTAGTTTGAACTATGCCCCAGCAACTTTATAAAAGCATAGAAGAAAGGATTGGAAAGGATCTAGAGAGATTGCCTTGTATACCCTTCTTGCCTAACTGTATCTAAGTCTTTCTTAGCAATTCTGTTTATTTGTTAAATTTTCTTTTTGAGAGGGCTATTGTAATAGCAGCCTTGTTGCTGACCCAGACTACCGACAATGTTGTGTTAGTCCAGTCTTGTGGAATGTATTTGTCATGATTCAAAGAATTGTATGTAACAAGAAGCATATGCTCTGAACTAAAATGGGAGCTAACAATCAATGCTACAATAGTCCCAACAGTGAAAACAAGTTTGATTCTATGAAATACATGTATTGCTGTGTAACTTTAAAAACAAATATAACAAGATTATTTTAAAACGAATGCATGTACTATAGAAATGATTTATATATACTTTAATAATTCCAAATGAAAAAAACAAAAAATAGTTCACTTGTTTAATGAAATAGTAATTTTGAGATGTGATTAAGTTCTTTTTTTTTCAGTAAGTGGCTTACCAATTGTCTGTAAATGATTTGGGCTGTTAACCATCTCAGTTCTATACTTTGCCACCATGTTGTATCCTTTCTGTATTGAAACCTTAAACTTGCATTAATCTGTATACAAGCAGAGTTTGTGCCCCTGCTTACCTTCAGGATGATTACTCTGTGTGGGTGTACACCACTCCTGCGGGTTTTTTGGCTAGAAACTCTTCAGCCTGTTAGTTTAGGAGTGGTATGTAGCCACATGGGTTACTCGTCTGGGGGTGGTATGGTGGTAGGTAAAAAGACTATGTTGCTTTTGTGACGTGACTTGCGGTTTTAAAGAGAGATTGTATTTCTACTTCAGCACTGCCAGCCTCAGAACATAATGAGTCTTTTCTTTCCATTATTTGAACTGCTAGGAAGAGCATCTCTTTTTCTTCTTGGCTCTCAGTTTTGGAGGTTAATCACATGAGAGCGGAGGGGTGTATTAAAGGAAGCAGAAGCTAAAATACTAAGGAAGTATTACATAAAAATGCATAAGGTTAAGCTTGATTAAAACAGAGAAGTGATGTAGATTTCTGTTATGCACATTCCTGGGGAAATCTTCATGTGAATTATATAGATCAAAGAATAGGTATTCAATTAATGTTAATTGTTATAAACTTCCTATCAAAATGGGTTGGTGTTCAATTGAAGCGTTGTGGTTTTTTACTTTTTAATGGTGCCATTTTCTACTTTCTTGCTAACCGTTAATATAATTTACAATTGCATGCAAATTAAATAATTATACCTGGCTGTTTACCATATCTGGCTAGAATAATAAAAGTACACATGAAAAATACATGTATGACCTTTAAGAAAAAAAAAAAGAGAGACAAAGATACTGAACCAAAACCAAGTAACAAAGCAGAGGAATGAAAACTAAATCCCTGTGAATAATGACGACTGTATTCTGCACTCCTTTAGATTTCTTGTATAAGAATGTAATCTGGAACACTGAAAGACCCATAATATTAACATTAACATTAATGTTTCCTTAGGGCTATTCATTGTTTACTACATGAAGTAGTAGGGCTCTGCAAAGTCTTATCCAAACTGTGTCCAGTAACTTTGCAGTTTTGTACTACCACTGTCTAGAAGATACTGTGGCAATCTTGGTGATGTTACTGCAATAAAGTAATTTGAGAGCAAAATCTCTTAAAACAGCTCATTTAAGCTTTCTCTATGTGGAAAACAGTTTTTACACTCTCTCTCTCCACGACACTGCTTATTTTCATCAGAACAAAACAGACTCTCTCCAGGAGAATCAGCTCAAGACATTTTTAAATCTCATTTGCACCTAGTACATAACTGCCCAGGCAGAATCATCATACTTCAGTGCAGTTGGATTTGTGTCTGATGCCTGTCAAAGGGCTTGAAAACATCTCTTAGGTTTTTAGCTTGGTTTTTTTTTTGAGTTTTTTGATTTAGTTTTGGTGCTTTTTTTTTTTTTTTGGTAGGATGAGTATCTAGGTATTATCAGGGCAAGATGCAAAACTCACAGAAGTCAATGGGTATCTTCCCAGTTGCTTTAGTAACTATGCCGATCCCAGTGAAACTGTTCATTTCAAGACAGGCTTGAGGAAATATTGACAAGCTGTTGAAGAAATGGGGAGGTGAGGGAGGGCTGAGATTGAAGTACCACAGATGTAGCTGGGTCAGACATTTCAGAGGTGGAAATGAATAGAAGGGGAGCAGCAGTGCTTGAAGGCACATGCTACTATACATACAGTATGGCATATATTATTTTAAGTGATGATCAGTGCTTCAGTTTAATAGGGTGGATAACAAAGGCAGAAAGTTAGGATTTAAAATCGAACTGCTGTTGGCTACATAAAGAAACTAATTTTCATATGTCGCAGTAGCAGTAAGTGTTTTTCCTGGGTTTCAGGACTGGAATCATTGCTTTGTTGGAGGATATGGCGTCATTACGTTGTGATAAGTGATTTATAAACACATTGTTTGAAACAAATAAATAGACCTGACAGACTTTTTCAACAGTTGCTCATTTAGATATACTGTAACTATCAAATGTTGCAAGTATATTAGAAAAAAAGCTTAAGACAAAATGTTTAGTGTTTTACAGGTCCCTCGAGTAAGTGATATAAACTGATAATCTGTCACTGTGAATAATGAACAAAGTAATTCCAGATTTGGAAGTGTTTCTTTGAATGCCCATAGGAAAATCCTGTAGCAATCAAGATCAGAAAGATTTGTGTACGTGAATTTGATTGCTAAAACATTAATGACAATCAGAATGAAAGCTGTCACTTACCTTGGTTTGTGAAAATGCAGGTCTGTGTGTGTTAATTGGTGAAATCATCAAAACAACAAGATCTGCTATCTTGTGAAAAAACTTGAATCCCTCAAATAACCTTACCATGAGAATTTCCCAGTGTCTTGTATATACTTGGAGAGAAGAAATAATTTTTCCTTTCATCATAGGCTAAATATTGACTTTTATTAAAAAATGGTTTTTAAAGGTTATTTTTTCAACAAAATGGGTGATTGTGTTATAATAAATTTTCTGAATATTTGTACTTAGCAGTTTTGAAGTTTCAGCAATATTTCTGTTTAATTATATTTCCAATTTTAAATAATAGAAAACAGGCATTAGTGGAATTCTTGTAGATTTTATATGCCAGAGCCACATGTATGTGGGCAAAAAAAATAATGTTTTTTTTTTATGTGACAAAACAATTCAAACCTTTATCTGAAAATTTTGTGGAAGGTAACTCAACATAAGCAAACTGAACCATAGCATGTGGTGGCAAATGCTGGTGAGTATTATTTTGCCTGATTAAGCACAATATGACTAAAAGACTTTCTTAAAGAAAATTTGTTTTGATCTAGACAAGAAAACAAATGGAAAATAAGCTTTATTAGGAACTATTTCTAAGGAAGCTACATGAGGGGCTGAGATGAGTTATTCTTTTTTGGTTTAAATTTCCAAAGATGAGTTTTGTTTACATAGAGGAAAAACACCATAGAAACTAATACTTTAAAATTTCTTTTGACTTAGAAAAAGCAGACCAAGAGAATACCGCGGCAGGAGATAAAGACATAAACCAGCCTTCCAGTAACCAAAGTATACAGCCAGAGATACAAGACCAGTCCATCTGGGGAAATCGCACTGATGGTGACCTCATCAGAAGTAAGTATTTCCAGAGCAAATTGCTGCCACTTAGGCTTGCTTTCACAGTGTAACGGGATACTGCCCGTTGACTCTGTTAAATGCGTGTCAAATGCAATTGTGTTGCAACTATAATGCGTACTTGCTGAGTTTATTTCCCAGAATGACTCCTGTCAGCATGCATAAACAGTGAGTTAAAAGAAAGGTGTGATTTGAGTGGTACAGTAGAATGTAGGCCTCTGTAGCATCTACATTTTTTAAGCCTTATTGTTATATTTTTATCATTCATCATGGGATCTGTATATTTAGTAGGCACATGAGCTGCAGAATGCAGCTGTGCTGGGTGTCACCGGCCTTGATTTGTCAGGTTATACATTTAAGTGGCAGAGTAAACTATGCTGAGAGCTGTTGCTTTCAGATGCACTTGGTACTGGTCAGGTGTAAGTTTATGAAGAGTTTTTAATCCTAAAGCAGTTATTCCTTTCAAAACTAAAGAATGCTGCAAGACAAGGTTTAGGCCTAAGATATGGAACTGTTTTTTTAATGAGTTTTTGAAAGTCCATGTTCCTAGTGTATGTCTTAAATGCTTTAAAACATGAAAAGGGATGCAAGATTGTTCCCAATTTTGTCTTGAATTGGAGCTCTTATGTTGTCCAAAAGATCAGCCACAATTGCACCCTCCCGAGGCAAAAATATTTCTGTCAACTGCCAGAGCTAATGCTACTTTAAAATTCTGTGAATGCTTGAACATTAGTTGCTCAAGGGAGGGGCTGCATGAGAAATTGTTCTCTAATTATAGGGTGTATTCAGAAAGCAAATGGACTAAAGGCTGAGCAGTGAGCCAGCTCTTGGAGATCATTGTCTGACCACACACTTTGGGGTCAGTATGTCTTTATACTGCACATGTACTACACTGTGCACAGTGGGGTAAATTCGTATTTCTGAACCTGCTGTTGTCAATACTGGTGATTTTATATGGAGTCACCCTGTTTTTTTTAGGTTTGTTTTGTTTGCTCATTTTTTAGTCTTACCTACGCATTCCACATGTGAACTTTGTGTTAGCATTTGGAGTTCTTTTCAAACCTTAGTTAATCCTTTTTTCTAAATAATCCTTATAAATACTTATACCCTTAATGTATTGAATACTTATCTAGATCCTCTACAGGAAATTAATTTGGCATGTCAGATATTTATCTCGCAATTTAAGAATAATTCCTAAAGGACTCTAAAGAGTGAGAATTGTCCTGAACAGCTTCAGAGTTTACTTAAATCCGAAAAGATTATTGTTTTAAACCTAACTGTCCCTGAACAAGCAATTGATTTTTCCTTGTGTTGAGGACGTGGGAAGGTGCATATATAGAATCTGCTGCTTTTGGAGTGGCCTCTTTCTCCTTCCCTCTTCCTAGAGCCTTCCTTATTTCCGGAACAATAAGAAAGCAGATTTATTGTGTGACAGCTAGCAGCATACCTGAACTATGGAGGAAAGAACCAAGGACAGTGGGATGGCGCTGTGCTTCCTCTAATCTGTTCACCACAAGGACATATTGTAGTGGCTCTACTGGGAAAGAGGGAGAGGAAAAGATCATGTTTTTCAAAGTACAGTAGAAATCGCAGCAGACTGTGCAAGTCCCTGGTAAAGTGACTTGACAGTTCTGTGCAGTTGTATGTGTCTGTGGTGTCTGTGATGGGAGGCTTATCTACTGCTGTATTAAAAAAAATATCAGGAACAATGGCAAAGGCAGGGTAAAATCGAAGTGTAATGTACTGCTCCAGTGTGTACAGCTATGCTCCTTCTGGAGTCATGCGTAGTTTTACCTTTGATTTTATGAAAGCAAGTTTAAGTGAAACCTGGAAGTTTCTAAACCTCCTGGTCTTAATAACTAAGTTTTGTGTAGCAGTAGCTTTATTATGAGATATGTTTGAGTAGCTGCTATGATGCAATCCTTTGTTTCAAATTAATGATTTCTTTTAACCTTTATTGTTAATGTTTTCTAGATGAAAGAAACAAAAAATGATGAACTTAAAACAGCTTCTTTTCTTTTTTTTGGAGGCTGTGGCCATGAGTAGGGAAGTCTGTTCTACTTAAAAGAACTGAGGAACACCGGCTCAATTACAAGTACTTCTTGTAGTCTGCAAGAGTTTTACAACTCAATCTACTTCATAACTCAAGTTTGAAAGATAGAACAAGGAGAGCAAAGAGAAGCTTCTTTATCGCAATATTACTTAGGCATTTCATCTAAAATAACAAGTATCATAGCTCAGAATGGCTGTGATTCAACCAGATCTATTACCCCACTAGGCTAAAGTTTGCCAAATGCTGCATATTGAAAGAAGCTTGAGGTTACAAATAAAATGTTTTGATCATTATGGTATATTTAAAAACCCTTTAAATTGTTTTAGACAAGGCATATTTCAATTTTCTCAGGTATTAACAACCATTCACTATCCTAACGAGTCAGTTTCTTTTTTTCCCATACAGATTGTTTTCCACCCCCACAGTTGATACACACTCCATTTGTTAGCCTTATTTTTCACTTTATAAATATTTCCAGTATTTTATTTCCAAGGTTTTCCTTGTTTGCAGCTGTTTTATCCTGCTGTTATATGGAAGTAGATTAATCAGTCAGTTTTACTGGCACACCAACAACGAAGTCCAGTGTTAGAGGCTCTGTAATGACTTCATTATGTATGATTTCTCATTTGCACTTGTGAACTCAGTTTACCAGGCAACATCAATAAAATAAAATGCTGCTCCCGTTTTCCAAAGTATGATGTTTTCAGTTCACCTTCCCTGCCCTTGCAGTCCTTTTCTCAACCCCCCTTTTTTAATTTCTAGATTATGAGGTTTCTCCAGATTAGCCCTTTCCCACCTCCTTTAGAGCCCTTTCCCGCCTCCTTTAGAGAGAGTCCCTTCTCTCACCCCAAATGGAAAAGCTCGTAATACCCTGGGTAAATGGGTAATCTTATGGGAAGCTTCAACCAAGGAATTGTTTTTGAAGAGACCTTGAGAGTCAAAAGGTTACAGTTTACTGCTATATAGGCAGGGAATAGCTAAATGAGAAGAAATGGTTATATTACCTTTCTGTATTAATTGTTAATGCACTTGCATGACTGTTACTGGAATACTGTGTTCAGTTGGAGAAGGGTCAGGGTAGAACCACAAATATTTCAGGAATGACTGGAGTAGTTGAAAACATGCCTTATTGTGGAAAACCTCCTAGAATTAAATCTGTTTAGTGTTAACAAGGGAGTAAAGAGGCCCTTGTCTAGTCCCTAAGAAACATGATACCACAAAACACAGAAATATGTTAAGACAACTCATCAACTGAAGCAGACAAAGGGAGAACTAGGTGTAATGCCTGGAAGTTCAGTTAGACTAGAAATAAGGTGTACATTTTTTAGCAGAGAATTTAAGTACGGGAAGACCTGCCAAATATGTGGTGGTCTTAGATGCGTTAAATTGGCTTTATTCTTCATAAGGTGGCCATTGCTATCTGTATCCTTCAATTTTAGAACCTGAGTGAGGAGGAGTCTCTTTGTCATAGTGATTCCTTCAAACTGGTATAACCTCTATATTTTTCAGCTCAGGTGTTCAAGGCAACATTGGGACCTATTCCTTTGCACTCACAGATGCACATATATTTTGTATTTTATTGCAGGCTGTAGGGGTTCTGCTTTTCAAAAGAGCTTAGCCTTTGAATCACTCCGTCTGCGTTTCCTTCTTTGTCAATGCATTTTAAATACCTGCAGACACCTTCTGCTTATTTTCATTATATGATCTGGTGGCTTGTAGTGGAGATGTTCTGCTTCTGTTATCACTCAGATTTGGCAAGTGAGGAAGTGTGGATGTTAAGACATGCAGTTGAGTAACTAGTGGCTATAGGAATGAAGCCATAGGTAGTTTTGCTTCTCCATGTTACCACAATGGCTTGCTTTGTTCTTTGGGAAAGGTTAGGGATAATTTTTGCTCCTTTTTTTTTTTTTAAAGGAGCAAAAATTTAAAAAAAAAAAAAAAAGCTATAAAGGCGGTTTTCAGAATACTTAGGCAGAATTTTTACAGAGGCTACTAGGTTATCATCAGTGTGTGCTGTTATGCAGGGGAAGAAATGTTTAGGAGGGAAGAAAATGCCAGTCTTGAACACTATTTGCTTGTGAGAATTTAATCTCCTTTCTGGTTTTCAAGCAGGACCTTAGCTATGTGATATTTAAGAAAACAAAAAACATCTACCATAGATTCAAATTGTCATTAATAATTGATTAATAATAATCCAATTCTCAAGATTAAATACCTAAAATATGCCCATGTTTTACAGATAGAAAGGTCATTGCTATCCATCATTTCCTAGCTTCAATTGCCTCTCTCTCCTCCATGAAACACCCACCTGATAAGAGTGGTTCTTCAGAGAAAGGGATGCTTCATTCAGATCAGTGGGGATTAAACAATTTTACATGTTCTTGTGCCCACTATTTTATTACATTCTTTTGTTTTATTTAAATATAAGCCTAGATATCCTAATATTTTTGTTTTCTATATTTTTATGTTCACATTTTTACTTTTAATTTACTATTAAATAAATAATGACTTTATTTAATTTTAACATCGGGAGATTCCCTTTTCCCTTTGGCTAAGTGACTGATTACTGTAGCTTAAATTACGCAGTTTGGGTTTGGGACTTTTTTTCCAAGGCAATGAAGATAATCTGCTGTTAGAACTGTTCTTTTTGTTTGATATTAATCCATATTTATCTTCTTGGCTAATTTATGGTGCAGAGTCATCTTCCAGTTATTGTGATTTCAGTTGCCTTTTTTAATTCTATCTCTAAAATATTGCACAGAGCTTGAAGTAACTTAAATGGTTCTCTTGAAAGCTAGAAAGTATGATAATCTTCTTGCAGTGTAACTGAGTTTGTGAGTACGGAAATTGTGCAGAATAGATTAATGGAAATTATTCAAAATATATTGCTAAATCTGAAAGGTGTATTCTTTTAGTTAAAAAAGTGATTTATGTACAATGTTACAAA